CGGGTACCCCTGGGCCTGGCTATAGGTGCCGCGCAGGGCCTCCGGGAGGCTGCAGAGAGCTGTGCTGCGCTTCCCCCTCGTGCGGGAGGGAGTGGGGAAGGGAGGTTTGGAAGTTAATCTGGCTTGGCATCTCCGGGTGCTGGCTACGTCCGACAGCTTGCAGGGTTTATGTGCATGGTCAGAGGACAGCCCCGTCCAGCATCGCTTCCCCCGTAACAGCTCCCAGCAGAGGCACAGGGAAATCCGTGGGGAGGTGGTGATGCTCCCTCAGGGGCTTCCTTCTGAGATCCGTCAAGCCTGTCCTGTGGCGAGTTGCACTTCACAGCAGATCTGTGGAAAAAAAACACCTCCCCTTGGTTTTGAACCTGCCTCCTGGTTCTGCTTGAAGTTGTAACTCTCGTGCTTGAAGAGGCACTACTGTGTCCCTCAGCCTTTCTGACTGCCACGTGTGACTTGTGATCTTTTATCCCATCCCCCCTCAGTTATGTTCCCCAGCCTGGAAGATTGCAAACCTTTAATATGTCTTTCCTTTTCTGAAATTCCATCCCCATCTATTGGTCATCACCTTTCCCTGAACTTTTCTAAGCTACACGGTATCTTTTCTGAGGTATCTGGCCCTCATTGTATTGCAGGCATTGTAATATTCGTGCCCTCCTGGTGGGAAGGATGATGGTTTCTTACATGTTCTAACTTTTCTGTTTTGGTATGAAATTTCAAACCATACAGATTCTGCACTGTTTGTTGACATAACAGTCTTGTTAGTTTGTATCCTGGGACTAGCTTCACTTCTGTAACACATTCAGGAATGGCATTGCAGTTCTGTCCATGGTGTGCAGTTGTGTCGACCAACCGCTGTCTCATGTTTCATGGCAGCACTCAGTCACATTCTAAAAACCAGGTAGAAACAAGTCCTGTTGCTCACATGCTGTCAGATGAGTGGTTATAGAAGTAAATGTAATTGTGAGCTCACCTCAATCATTTGTGGGATTCTTCAGTTTCCATAAAACACCCATTTAAGATCCTAAAAAGATGACACCTTCATAACGTTAGTACCAAAGTCACGTGTAGGGCTCATAAATAACAAGTATTTTTACCAGTTTCCAAATGGCTGCTTAATTCTTTTCAGGATACCAATTCTTTTAAAAGCTTCACAAGTGTGGGATTTTTTAAATGCTAGTTAATTATGCTGTTGAAGAAAAAAACTTTCCAAATGTGAGCCATATGGGGTTTTTGTTGGTGGTTTCTTTTTTCCCCTGCAATGTAGGAATTCTAGGACAACACTCAGAGGCAGGATGTCACATTGTCTGAAATGTTACAACTAAACTTTGGTAATTTGGGCTGTAATATGAACTCTTGTAGTATGAATAGATTTAGTAGAAATATTGAGGTAAGTTCTTTCGGGCATTTTGTTAGATTCTAAAAAGAAGTCCATTAATTCCATTACAGTGTCTTTCTTTCAAAGGCTGCTAATGTTGGGAATAAGGCTTTGAAACTCCTACCTGTGAAACTGAAAATTGCCTTTGTCTGGGCTCCAAAGTTAGGTCTAAAAAAGATAACAGTCTTGTAGCATTGAAGCTTCAACAGAATCTGAAATGTCAAAAATAAGATCATTTTGAGGGGTTTGGTATGATAAAAGTGACAGATAGCCTCTTACTCAGTGAGAATGAATACCAAACTTTCCAATGTATTTTCTCCAAGTATGTTTAATGCAATGAAAATGTAGTATTTTTGTACTCAAATTTTCTTATTATGGATGGAATAAACCTCAACAACAGGGTGTTGGTCTCACTTTCCCTGCATTTAAGTTGGTGTAAACAAGACTTTAAATTTTTAGGAAGTCTCATTTCAAACTGAAGTGTATATAATCTTTCAAAATACAGGCAGTATAGGGGTGGGCCGCTACAATTTGGGAAGGCAACTGTATTACCTAGAGAGAGAAAAACAAACAAACAAAATAACCCCAAACAAACAAACAAAAAAAACAACCCAGAGAATAATTACAAAGACTAAAAGTTGCATCAAGTCTGAGATCCAGTAGGGATTGTATAGCTGGGCTTTGCAGAAGGTGTTAAAGCAACATCTAGAAATCTCCTCTATCTTTTAACTGTGTAATCTTTCACCAGACAGCTTGAAGATTTTCAGTAAGGATCAGCAGAGCTTCATTTGCATTAATGCTTCACTATTCCTACTGAGAATTAAAACCAGACTTGAGAGAACACTGTTATTTATATTCCTTCTTTAATTTTTTAAGTATATATGGGAAAAAGTTAAAATCATTGTCCAGAGTCATGCATGTGTCCCTCTCTGAGGAAGCTCAGATAACTTGAACTACGGAGGAAACCTAATAAATTAAGCTTGAGAAAAAAAAAATCTGTCAGGGAGAAATTAGAAGATTATCTCTAAAAAATTAACAGATATGAGGATATAATAGAATAAGAATTTCAAAGATGGGACTTAGAATGAGTCAAAGCTAAATTCTGTGCCTCGGTGAGTGAATTCTAGGACTAAACAGCAGGTGCTTCCCAAGGATAGCTAGGGGAACTTTAATGGGGCAGGAGTTAAAGGTGATGACACTTCACATTTCAGTGACTGACACAGTAGCCTCAGAAGGTGTGCCTGGGAAGGATGTGACAGCAAGTAAGCCTCATTGTAAGGTGACTGCAAATGCTAAATATGTTAATAAACATAGTGTGAAACGTAATTAGCAGTAGTGTTACAGTCATATCCTCAGCAATATTTGAAATTTTGAGGACAGTAAAATTGCATTATTGAAATGGAAGAATCAGAAACTGCAGCTTAGATTGTGGGTGTGCATCTTACCTTATATTTATAAAATTACAGAATATGATAAAAACTGCTAAGAAAATATTTTGCTTATTTCAGTTCTTTATCAGCAAATTTTGAAGACTAGAGGAAAATGTCTTTTTTCCCCAAAATCTCTTTCCATTGTGAAGTTGAAGAGTATCTCACCAAAGTGTTCAGAAATAATGAGGTATGTGAAACAGATAATACTAATCATTAACAGATATTCACTAATTGAACACTGTTAATATTCCTTTGCTTTAATATTTTATGTGACTTTAATACCTTACAATAAGATATTGTCTTCATATTAGACACAGATTTTTATATATAGTTCTGTGTAAAATATAGAATTATTCTTTATGCCCGTTGGCTGAAAGTAACATGAATATATTTAAACTAAACTTAGCATAAATTTGAGACTTCAGTTATGGATCCCACTGAAGAATGATGACAGAGAAAATTAACCACTTATTAACCCTTTAATATTGACAAGAAATACTCCCTTACTCCAGTGTAGAACCAAAAATACTATGGACAATCTATGAATTCCTAATGTCAGAGGACACCAAAAGATGATGTTTTTGTTAATCAGGATAAGAGTTATTAATTCATAGTTTTGAATCTACTCCTCCATTTCCTTAGGACTGTGCTTTGTACAGTATCACAGAGCTCTCTAGCAGTTAGTTTTGGTACTGGCTGCAGCCTGGTTACAATGATCTTGCTAATACAACTGTTTATCCAACAAGTAATTTTCAGTAATTTCAAGTAATTTATTAGGTTTTCACTGAAATTAGGCCTCCAGATACAGACATTCCTCACTGTTGCACACCACAATTCCTCCATTTCTACTGGATGTTTATTCAGTGCTTTTTTTTGCACTGAGCAAGAGACTGCTGCGTGACTCTCTTTAATGTAAAATTTCTTCTTTCACTTTCAGCTTATCAGTGCTTTAGGTATACAAGAAGCAGAGAGTAAATATCAATCTCTGTTAAGCCATCTATCTCATCCACCGGGTTTCACAACTGTTAGAGTTAACACCCACCTGGTCTCAGTGAAACATGTGAAAAAATTGCTGTTTGAAGAGATCCAGAAGGTTTGTGCAATTTCTTTGTTACAGAAAAAATAATAGGATATTTCATCTTTTGCCTGATTATTAGAGCGTTTCATTACTGGAAAATATTCTTTAACTTAATACATGTCCACTAGGATTAACATTATGCAATCAATAGATTTCCTGTCAGCATTAAATGTGAAATGAAAATTCACTGTCTAGCAGTATTCCTCACCTAATACGTCCAAGAAAGGCAATAACAGAGGAAGAAGACAACCAACCCTCTTTCATATGGCAGATCCAGACCTTAGGTAGGATTGGGGTACTACCATGGTAAATGCTGTAAAGGCATCATGAGTCTAGAGAAGATGGTAGAAAAGAGATAAAACCGAAGTTCAGAATGCTGTGT